CCCCCCCCCCCCCCACAGATTTCTACGCATGGTAAGTTACATGTTTGAATGATAAGGAACTCCAATCTTTGTTTGAGCACACTCCACAGAGAGAGTAAGAGATGCGAAGATCGAAATATGCAAGATTTGTTAGCTAAAAAAACAATAAACAAAAAATAGTTAACAACTATAATTCCTTTGATCTTCTGCAACGAATAAAAGAGTAGTGATTGATCAATAACTGATAGGAAATGATTTCTTGGATTTTGAGTTTTCCCCAGAATCTCATGTTACTTAGTAGAAAGATTTGATGAGCAGTCCAAGGCGTGGTATTCTTGGATTGCTTCCTCTTGCATATAACATAAATTTACTTTTGGTTGAGGAGTCTTTGGTTCATCCGCCGGTTAGAAAAAAGGGCTGGTTTTGTGAATAGTTGGCCTATGTGCTTTGTTACAGGGTCTTTGGGGTAAGAGGAACCATAAAATTTTTAGGGGAATGAAGCATTCTAGGAAGGAAGTTTGATCATTTGTTAGGCTCCATTCCTTCCTTTGGCTTCGGTGGGTAAGAACTTGTGTAATTATCCTGTAGGTATTTATATGGCTCAATTGGAGTCATTTTCTTTAATTTGGCTCCTTTTGTGTTGGTTTTTTTATGTCCCTGTCTTGTTAAGCTTGGTTTCAATTAAAAAAATATTGCCTTCGGTATTGTCTTTGTTATTTTCTCAAACATGTCTGCCGTATATTGTGGCAGGTAAGGAAATCCATTTCATCACTACAGGCGGCAGGGTATGTTGCACTAGAACATGAAAACTAATCTGGCACTTATGTCCCGCATTATTGCATACATCATTTAAAGGCCTCATATGATGAATATATTATTCTCCTGTCTTAGACATCGGCCTTCGTACCTGAGTTGCAAAAGCTTACTGGAGCTGAACCAAAAAATCAAAATTCAAAGAGAAAAATCAACGAAGGCAAAAAAATGAATGATGAGGGTGTTGGTGAACCAGTGAGCAAGACAAAGAAAACTGCAGATACAACAGATACAAAGACAAAGTCAAAGCCTAAGGGTCCCTCTAAGAAGCCTTCAACCAAAAGAAAATCCAAAATCAATGAGGACGATGGCTCTGATGAAGAAGCTGAAAACGATGATGCCAGTGATGATGAAGACAACAGTCATGACATTGGAAAGACGAAAGCAGGAAAGAGGACGAACGTTGGGCGAATGCACGATGCTTCTGAATCGGAGAAGCCTTCGAAGCCTTCGAAGCAAACAGTTCCTAGCAGTCGAAGTGGTAGGCAGAGGAAGAAAGCAAAGTAAGTTCATGTCCTTATTACCGTATGTAGTGTTTTTTTGTTGATAATTATGAGAACATATGCCTGCAGTTGGAACTTGCCTTCTTGTCATGACTGTTAATCCTAACCGTAGATGTGGGCATGACTTTTGTATCATCTGTTCTGTTCCCATCATTTTGAAGAATGTTCATAAGATTAGGAAAAGGCAAATTTATCATTCTACTTGGTTCGGCCCATTTCCTAAATGTTTTTAGTTCATTCATCTCTCAAAGGATATTTGCTACTATTTTATTCCTTACGTTTTGGTGTAATGGCTCAATTTCTTTTGTTGGAGAGGAGATCGGAGCATTCCTTATAAAGATGTTGAAACCTTTCCTTAATAGACGCGTTTTAAAACCGTGAGGCTGACGACGATACGTAACGGACAAAGTGGACAATGATCTTCTAGTGGTGGGCTTAAATTGTTATAAATGGTATCAGAGCGACACCGGGCGGTGTATGTTAGTGTGGACGCTAGGCCTTGAAGGGGTGGATTGTGAGATCTCACATCGGTTAGAGAGAGAGGGACGAAATATTCCTTATAAGGAGTGAAAATCTCTCCCTACCAGACGAAATATTCCTGATAAGGGGTGAAAACGACGGTGATATGTAACGGGTCAAAGCGGGTAATATCTACTAGCTGTAAAATGGTATAATTTCTTCTTTTATCTTAAAATTATTGAATATGGATTAATATTAATAAACTATATTTAAGAAATCAAAATAAACAGATAAATAATGCTTTTGAAAGCAAATTTTACAAACAAAAAAATAATATAATTTAAAAAATATTAATACATAAAAAGTTAAATAGAAAAAAATTAAAATAAATTACAAAAACGAGTTAAAAACATATATTTAAGCCAATATCTTCGGTTTCTTGGTAAGAATAAGACCTAATGCTTGTGTTTCAACCAGGAAACATGTAGACGACATGTCGTTCATACAGGAAGAATAAAAAAAAAAAAGGTGACGGCCCAAGCCCATGCCCAAGCCCATGCCCAATCCCTGTGAGTGGCTTTAGGGGAAAGGCCGATGAATCAGACTTCGATGCAACGAAACTGTGCACATACAGATATTTCAAACAGAGAGAGTAAGAGATGTTTTTTGGTTCACAGATCAAATTTGTAATTTAACCTGAAAATATAAATATATGCTATGAAATTATTAAGCCTTATATTTCAACATTTTACGCTTTTAATATTCAATTTTAGATATATGCAAACGTTGCCTATTTTTCTTCTTGAAAAAAAAAATATTATTATTATTTTTAATTAATTTCGAGTACACAATATTAAGATTTATTGAAACAACAATTTGTAGCGAAGGTGGAGCCGTATTTTGTAATGAAAAGGGTAATTTTGCAGTTTCTCTGAAAATAGCTATATGAAACTGTGGCGTCAAAATTACAGAGGAACAAGGAGAAGAAGAAGAAGTAACAATGGCGCTACGAAGACGAGTTACGGCTGTGGAGAAGCCAACAGATAGGCTACGAGTTCGCTCCTCAAAAGTAAGGCGCTTTCTAGGTTTCTTTTTCTTTGGCTGAGTCGATGGAATCGATGAGTTACACTTTCAATCTCGTGTTGTTTTACACTTCCCCCCCCCCCCCCCCCCCCCCCCCC